TACTGTGTCTTATGTATCTGGATCTCGTGATTAATACCGGATGTGTTTGTCACTCATGAATTTTATTGCTAGATTTTGTTATCATTACTGGTGTTTGTGTCTTAAGAACTGGATTACTGTGTCTTATGTATCTGGATCTCGTGATTAATACCGGATGTGTTTGTCACTCATGAATTTTATTGCTAGATTTTGTTATCATTACTGGTGTTTGTGGCTTAAGAACTGAATTACTGTTACATTTGTTTATTTTGAATGCTTGATTTACTCTTTGATATAACGAGCTATTCCTTGTATCTTTTAACTTAAGAACTGTATTAGTAGGTTTGTCATCAAGAGCCCCAGGTTCATGCTTATACTACTAGGATTCAGTGGCTCTGTTTAAATATACCAAAGTTTAGTAAGAAGGATTTTTTTTTCCAGTACAAATGTATAAAATTTAGAAAATATCTTGTTTTTGTCTGCAAACTGTGCTGTTTTTGTCTTTATTATTTGAAGGATTGTGATCATTGCATAATAGTAAGTATCTGTGTTATATGATTTCAGTTTATGAAGTGCGCTCAGTTTTTAGGCATGTTGTAATAGTGTAAAATAGCTTTATATTTTGTGGAGACAATAACATGTGTTTATCATTGGGTAAATCAAAATCACAACAATTTGTCATCTGAAGATCAAATTAGAGCAGCATTCTTTCCAAGTTTAGATCCATCAGGTTCCAGTGTGTTGAATGTTCTAGTTTTTGTCCATGTTGTTGTAATGGTATAAAATAGCCTTTTAAATTTTGTTTGTAGATGTAAAGGCGTTAACATATATCATATCTATCCTTGGGTACATCAGTATCACAACCATTTATCATCTGAAGATCAGATCAGAGCGGCATCCTTTCCAGATTCAGATCCATCAGATCTACCACCAGACTCAGAATTTTCAATGGCTGCTGGCAATTTTGTGGAAATTTACACAGAGTCAGGTAGTTTTTAAAAACATTGAAAGAAAATTGCATACATGCTACAGTTAAAAGCTTCATTTATTGTCCTATTACTCGATTTTTCAAATGATGATAGATTTAAGTGCAATCCTTTTTGGTATTATAGATAAATACACAGCCAATAAAATCCCAGGTTGTGTTTTATCTCTTAAAATTAATACTGAAAAACCTTTAAAATTTTTTATAATATTTGTTTAAAAGTAACTCACAAAAATGTATAAATTAAGAAATATTACAAAATATCAAGTTTGAAGAAAATATTTTCCCAGTTACAAAACCTGAATATACTAAAGAAGTTAAGTAAGTATTTCACATTTTATGTAGATACTTGGGATTGTGTAGCCACATGCTTCTTCTTGGATACAGCAAATAATGTTGTGCTGTATATTGAAACCATACAAAACATCCTTAAGCCCGGTGGATATTGGATCAACTTAGGCCCTCTTCTCTACCATTATGCAGATCTACCTAATGAAGACTCCATTGAGCCAAGCTATGAAGAAATAAGAAGCATTATTCAGGCCTATGGCTTTGAATTTGTAGTAAGCACCACGTTATTTTATTCAAATACTGTTAAATATTTTGACTCTTTGTTCAACTGCTGATGTTCCATTTTGAGATATTTTCATAAAAACCTTCTGTTAAAATGATGGATATAGGTTACATTTATGAAGTTTCTACCCTCCTAGTTATTCCTGTTTACTAGCGTGTACCACATTTTATTGCATGTCTTTCCTTCTCATTCTCTTTCTAAAGTACTTATCTTGTGAATGACTATTGTATTTTATAATTGTCTCCTTACAATTTTATTTTAAATTTTTTCTATCAAAATGCACTGTACTGCATACCAAACACATTATTACATTTTATGCAGGTGTATTGTGACATTAGGTTCCTCTTGCATGGTCCAGTAGAAGTATTACTCAGATACGATACCTCACCGTTTCACACAGAAGAGCTTAATCCCTTGCACATATGCCTATGAGATTTGCATGCCACTAACCTATCTAATTCCCAATTAAAAATCATGTGTTTAATATAAACTGTGCTGGTGCACGACAACATCATCATGTGACAATATCAATAAGAGGGTGACATAACCACCTTGTGGGGTAACTTCCCTTCAGCAGTTGCTCTCAAAATAACTTCATTCTTTTTCTCAGCATTGTCTCAAACAGACATTTTAAACGTAGTAATTAATTATGTGAGATTTGCGATAGTTTAAGTAACTTGAATTTAACTGTTTCTTTCTTTACTGAAGAAGATTTTTTTCCTTCTTACACATTATGAATTCTCAAATGATGATAACTACTACTTCGTCCTGTGAAGGTGATGATGTTACTAACACGAGACCTGTGGCTACTAGAAACTCGTTATCTGTGGAGTATGTGAAAGCCATTGTTCAATGAGTTGTAGGTTCTATCATGCACACTGGACCTCCTCCTCCCATCCATTCAACTGATGTTTCTTCTCCTCAGTTTCAAAATGACCAAAATGGTGATGATTTTGACTGGCTATTACCCCCACCAGGGTTTTCACTAGGCACTGATTTATCAGTGGAATAAAACTGTCACCCGCCTAATATCTTTCTTAAGATGATTTTGCAGGTATATTATTTCATTTCTCTTTCTCCAGTGTATTTTGATTCCATCTCCTTCTGGTATTAGCATCCTTGCAGACTCATTTCTTGAACAACTGCCTTATCCTACTCACCTATTTGACTCTTTTTGTCCTGGCTTACAGCCATTCTTCATTTGCGATTTATTGGAATCTCTTTTACTTGCTTGGTGAACAGACCCCTTAGCTTCTATTCCACTTTCTAGTGCCAAATTTTCACACCTTCATCTCTTTCTTACAACCTTTTACTTTGCCTCTCCTTCCTTCACCTTGTTTCTGAGGCACTTCAACATGCTCCTGAAGGGTTCTCTGGAGAGGTTTGTTCTCCTCTTTTCACCACTTTAGCTTGTACTACTACATCTGCTCTATCCCTCCTTACTTGGTTCCTTGGCTATTGGGAATTATTGGGTTGAATTGCTCTCCTAATTAATATTCACCTTATTTCCCTCATCTCATTGGACTCATTTTCTTCACCTGAAGGTCTTTGGTTGTGTTTCTGAATCTCTGGAGATTGGGACCAAACTGTCCCAGCATCAGTCCTCATTGTCTTCTTTGGTCTCTCTCAACCTTGCCCTTCTGTTCCTTTTCCTAGGACATCTCTTCCCATCATCTCACTTCACAACATCAGAATCATTGCTATCTCATCTGTGACTATTCTGTTGGGTCTGGCCCAGTGGGTGCCCATCTGTTTCTCTTTCTCAGACTTGGTTTCCATTTTCATCCAATAGATGGGTCCTTCAGGTTCTAACCCACAGCCTATCTCTCCACTTCTCTTCCTTCCCTGTCTCCTTTTCCTGTTTCCTTTCCTCTGAACCCATTTTATCTCCAGCATCTTGAGGATGCAGTCTCGGATCACTTGACCAAGAATGCCATCAAGAGAGTACTTACCCTTACTCTAGGATATTACTCTCATCTCATTGTGGTCCCCAAGGAGACAGGGTATTCTAGTCATCCTGCAGTTCTGAATGAAAGGTATATTTTCTCTCAAGAGGTTCTTTTTCCCAGTCTGTGAATGACCAAGATTGACATTTCAGATGCTTTTTTTTACACATTCTAATTGCGTCTTCCTCCAGACATTTTCCCCATTTTGTCAAAGGGAATCTAGTCTTTCAGTTCCATGCTCTTCCCATTGGTATTGCATCTGCTCCTTACATCTTCAATTGAATCATGGGGGCACTTGCTCACCATATTTACAGAAGTTTCATTAGTACATGGACAATTGGCTTCTCCTCACCTCTTCATGGGAGAACTGCTTTTCTCACACTTCCATTTTGCAGGAGGCTGCTCAGCTGGGCTGGCTAATCAAGTATTCCAAGTCTTTTTACTCTGCCTACCCAATATTCGGACCTGGATCATCTTCTGTGTCCGGTTCAAGCTATTTCACATGAACATCTCCTTTTTGAGGTTCATTTCACCATTTGTTTTTGCTTAGAGACTCCTCTTTATCCAGGGTCCTATTGCCTCCTACCCTGGGGGGGGGGGGTCCTGCCAACTCCTCCTTGGTGTACTCTTCCCTAGATATTGATGCTCACAGGCTTTTTCACGTTTCACTACATCTCACTATCTTGTGTCTAATTTTCACTGACCCTTAGACAAGATCCTTCAGGATGGCATGTGGACAAATCTGCACACTTGTGTCTCCCATTATTTTCATCACTTGACTATTTTGACTCCATCCAGTTACTATTCTTCAATATATGCACTATCTTTGAGAAAGGTAAGTACATTTTCTTTTTCATCACCCTCTTCACATTTATAGGATCCAGCCAATTAGCTGGTGTTGCCTCTCAGGATATGTTTATTTCCCAAAATCTGCATCAAGCCAGGGATAACTATCCTCCCTGGCTTCACCAGGGCCCATTGTCAAGATGGGGTGTTCTGGAAGACCCCTAGAGGTATTCTCATAATATTAAACCTACTTATTTGTCTGATCCAGACCGAACCATTCCATGGACAATCATGTAAAAAGCTGGCACCAAGGAAGTGACTGTCCATTTTTGCTTGTGCATGCCAGCTTTTCAAAATAGGGTTTCACAGTCATCCATTGCACTGTTTCCAGTAAAAGACATTTGCGGCAGGTATCCAATGAGGATCCAGGCTCTTTTTCAGGTCTTCCCAATCCAAATTTCCCTCTTCTTCTTCAAGTGGAGCACAGAAGACCCTTACCACTTACCAGTTTCTAGCTGCTGGAGTGGTGGACCTTCTGAAGTTCCTCACTGATTGTGTACAATACAATACAGTGGGAATTAGGGTGGTGGTGGTACTGTTTGTGTAGTGTGGGTTACTCTTCAAACAGCTTGTGTGTCCTTCTTCTACAGCTGGACAGGTTCATTGCCCCTGTATCTGTCCAGTTGAGTCAAGGTCAGGTACAATATATGATCTGATTGTGCCCTAATCACATTACACTTCTTGGCTTGCCAACCACTTGTGTGTGGGTGCTCAATTGGTCATTGAAAAAATTCTGCCTATCCTTATGACACTTGGAGCTCTCTTTTTGTCTTTCCATCTCTTTCTTCCAGATGAAGAATGTACTTTGGTCGAGATGAGATGTAGTTTCCCATGGTTGTACCCCTATGGAGCCCCTGCCATCAGGCATTATATGCCATAGACTTTCCCGTGGAGCCCCTACCATCAGACATCACACACACCGTGGAATATCCCATGGAACCCCTGCCATCAGGTGTCACACTCCATGGGCTTTCCCTTTGTGCAGTTTTGAAAGGGAGCTCATCTAGGTAAATTTTTGCACTGGCCCTTTCACAATTTCATTGTAGGATTCCAGCTATTCTGTGCACGGTGGTTGAGATATCGTCTCAGAGGTTAACATTTTCCTTACGTGAAAATGTATTTCTAATAGATACTAACCTCTGTTCTAAAAGTTTCTGTATAATTTAAGTCATGATATTTGTACTTTTATTACATTCATAATAAACTACATGCTGGTTAATGTGTTTTAAACTGTTATCTTACTGAAACAAAACGGCTTAGATTAAATTATTTTTCTTTGTTTTTAAGTATTTCTAAAAGGAAATGTAAATGTAGATAGCTTTGATAATTTTACTGCAGAAAAATTACACATTCAAAACTAAAGCATATGATATGTATAAAGAGGCATAGAATATAGTGCCTGTTTAAAGTTTATACATAGAGACATAGAATATAGTGCCTGTTAAATATTTAGTTTATACATAGACATAGAATATAGTGTCTGTTAAATGTTTAAAGTTTATACATAGAGACATAGAATATAGTGCCTGTTAAATGTTTAAAGTTTATACATAGAGACATAGAATATAGTGCCTGTTAAATGTTTAAAGTTTATGCGTAGAGACATAGAATATAGTGCCTGTTAAATATTTAAAGTTTATACATAGAGACATAGAATATAGTGCCTGTTAAATAGTTAAAGTTTATACATAGAGACATAGAATATAGTGCCTGTTAAATATTTAATGTTTATACATAGAGACATAGAATATAGTGCCTGTTAAATGTTTAAAGTTTATACATAGAGACATAGAATATAGTGCCTGTTAAATGTTTAAAGTTTATACATAGAGACATAGAATATAGTGCCTGTTAAATATTTAATGTTTATATATAGAGACATAGAATATAGTGCCTGTTAAATATTTAAAGTTTATACATTTGTACTAATTTTTTTTTCATTTTCCAGAAAGAAGAATTAGGCATCAGAACACCATATACACAGAATCCACGATCGATGATGTTTTATGAATATCGCAGCGTATTTTTTGTGTGTAGAAAGACACTTTTGTGATTGGAGTTTTGCCAGTAATTTATGTATATAATAATGATTAACGACAAACTTTGTATGTGTTACTATAGGACTTCAGAACTAACATCTTTTATGTTTTATTATGAAATCACATAAATTACATCAAACATGCTATATTTTGTAGTAGCACAAAGTTTGCACCACATATTTTTCATAACCTAAACTCACTATATGTCTTAATTAAAAAGTACTTTACTTATCAAAATTTTAAACTAGTATATTGAGAAAACTAAACAAGCCATCATATAAATAAAAGTCATGATTGTTACATTAAGACCATTTACTTCAGAATTCTAGTAGCTAGAACATTTGGGATCTTTGCTTTTCAGATCAGACTTTGGTTTCTTGTAAAGTCTACAATTTAAAACTGTTATGAGAATATAAGGCTGATTCTTTCAAACATGAGATTCCTGGTATTTTAAGTTTCATCATAATTTCTTGCCACTAATGTTGAAGAAATATCCATGTTGTAAGCTATTATTAGAATAGAACTCGCTAATAGAGCTGGCAATCTAGTCATGGTATCATAAAAACAAAGCTGCACATACACAGTGTGAAATATTTACTCGTAATGAGTACTTATTAATAAGTAAAACAACTGTATACAGTTATTGGCAGCTGCCAAAAAAATCCATTAAGTAGTAGCATCTGAAACACTTAAATCCTACTTCTAGTACATTTTGTGACACATTTCAAATGAGTTATTGAAATGGAAGAAGTGTGTATATATATATATATATATATATATATATATATGACATTGGAAAACATAGGTAAGATTTTAGTTTGTGTATCTTGTTCAGGTAATTTCATTATGTTAATACATCATCTAAAGCAAAATAAGCAAGGTCTATGAATCCTTGAAAAGCTTGTAACTTTGGCATTTCCACCTTGAATTTTGTAATTATACCATAGTGGCTTATAAATATTATATTGTATTCATATTATTTACTTTAATATTGGATGGTAAAATAATGTTTGTTTTATACAACAGTTTGGTAAAAACAACTGTAAATACAGTTCATTGAGAGATAGAACAGTGTATTATAAAGTAGTATAAGTGAAAAAATATTGGAGATAGAAAAATGTAATTTTGTATTTGAAATCAATGAAAACCTAATTAAGGTTGTAATTAATATGATCAGCAAATTAGATTCATGACTCTCATTTAATTTTGAAAGGGCCCGGCATGGCCAGGTAATTAGGGCACTCGACTCATGGGTTCAAATCCCCATCACACCAAACGTGCTCACCCTTTCAGCCATGGGGGCATTATAATGTGATGGTCAATCCCACTATTCGTTGGTAAAAGAGTAGCCCAAGAGTTGGCGGTGGGTGGTGATGACTAGCTGCCTTCCCTCTGGTCTTACACTGCTAAATTAGGGGACAGCTGGCGCAGATAGCTCTCATGTAGCTTTAACAAACAATAATTTTCATTGAATTCAAGTACAAAATTATGTAATTTTTCTATTTCCAATTTTTATTTTCACTTCTTAATTTTTCTGAACAGTGTAACTTATTTCTAAATTTCTCCAGACAAAGACTACATTCAAGAACTGACTATTACAATTGATTAATTGTATTACATTTATGAAATAATAATTTACTAATGTCAAATGTATATTACTTCTCCATATTAAAGAACTAATGGTGACTATAATTCAAAGTTTATCTTCACAGAATGTGGCAAGCTTTTACTCAACAGTACAAGTCTGTCATACACAAAATGTCAAATGAATTGCTAAAGATTTGTCCGAAGTCAGTCTGACAAGTCAGTGTGCCAGATGATGTTCATGTGAAGGTTAAAGATACTTTTGTCCATCATATAGTTTGTAAATTGCATTTGCATATATGACCTAAAACCTGCTAACTGCATATCTAAAGTTCTTTCCAATATCCATGTCTGGTATTTTCTCTACCATGGAAATCAATGATGTAGGGTAACATGAAGTACTGATAACTTTGATACCTAATAATCTGTTGAATGATTAAATACTTGATTCTGCTGCAAACACCTAATAATCTGTTGAATGATTAAATACTTGATTCTGTTACAAACACCTAATAATTATGTTAATAAACAAAAATAAATACCATTATTAATCAGAAGCTATTGTTAATCCATGAAAAAATAATTCCAACTTCAAAATACTCAATTTGCTTGTGAGGTCATGACTTATAATAGAAATCTTCATTTAATGGTATTAATATATTTTTCTTCTTACCATATTTGGATTACAGATAACATGTTTTTAATTTGACAAATCAACTACTTTCTGCTTAAAAAAAGGTATTTTTGTAACATTTATTAGAGGAATGTTAAAATGTTATGTATTTAACTTTTATTAAACTAATAATGTTTCTTGCTTTTTGTTAATTAGAAATTCATTTTTATTATATAGAGGGGTGGACATATCAGAGAAGCCTTAGAATAACACTAGTATTTGGTGTTTTTTCTGCTCTTCAGTGTGACAAGTAGGGTTAGCAAAATTAGTGGCACTAGGTAATATTCCATGTGATAGCATGCTCAAGCACTATGCACAGTGTAATCGAATCATTTTCTCCAGTATCTTTAACAAGAACTTGTGATCAAAAGTATATAGATGAGAACCTGAAAAGTATCTTACAAATTAATGAAGCCAGTCTATGTAACTAACTGATTATAAAGCATTGAATCATCAGTTTAATAGTTTATGATTGTCAATACACAACAAACTTACTTACCCAGTATTGCAACTGGATTAACTAGTGACACTGACAAAAAAATAGTTGTGTTTGATCAAGTACAGACTGTAGTGTGTACATAAACTGATCAAAGCTTAAACAGAAAATGTATTTGTTAATAGCATTACAAGTTAAATCATGAATCTTGATGTTTTTATATTCATCCAACTTTTCATCACTGATGTCAAACATTATTGTAAATTATTGGTATTTTTTGCACATTTTTAAAGCAACTCAGTTATTACACTGTTTTACAGTGCCTTGTTTAATATCATTTACATATTTACAGTAAACTATTGCTTAAGGTAAGCATGAAATAATGATTGTTCACTAAGAAGCAAAAGTCAGAAAAATAAAATATTAAAAGTAAAGATTTAATGGAACAACTTTTTTGCAATTGTTAAACAGTACAGTTATTAATTTGGTCATCAGACATTTCAGGACAATAAATTCTAGCATTCCATATGCATTAATTAAGTAAATCTTTCACAATCCTTATATCTCCTCTTCATGCTAAAATGTGTATCCTGTATGAGGATGTTTGTATAATGACAATTGTTGCATAGCAGTAGTAAACATGGACAAAGTTGAGTCTATACAGATGAGATTCACTAATATGGTATTGGATTTCCACCAGGATGTGTCTAGTTCTCCATGTACGATTTTAATGTAGAGGACCTTTATTACATAATATGAATAGAAAGTGAATAATAACATTTTACATAATTTTAATCAGATTTCATGGTTTTAATCATTGTTTTGTTAAATGAAAAGAATGGATTAGTTTGAGAATCAAGTGACATTTTAATGGAACTGAACATGTATCTTTGAAGTAGAAATATCCATGTATTATGATGAAATATAATTTAATTTTACTGAACACATTTGGTGGATTGTTATCTGTAATTAGCTTCACAAGTTGTAGTAGTGAATAAAGAAGCTAGAGTGTTTTCAATAATTCATATTATTTCTAATAGAAATGAGACTTTGAATCTTGATGCACCTGTTGGGTACCTTAAAGTGTGTTAAACGTGACTTTTTAAATTTCCACAAAAGAACAGAATAGTCATAACAGCATATAAAGATAAGATTCAACATAATAATGGTTTTTTTGTTACAATATTAATTGTGTACTTTGCAGCACATGAAAAATGGACTATGGAATCTTGTAAAATGGACCATGGATTCTTGTAAAATGGCCTACAGAATCTTGTAAAATGGCCTCTGATTTGTTGTTCTTGTATTGGTGTATAAGACTGCCTGAATAAATATTACTTAAACTATCTGTTAAGAATACCAGACTGTTAAAATAAGACACCAATCCTTTTTAATTTCACATATGCTGAAGTGTTACTGCTATACACCCACGTAAGATGCTACAGAAAAACGTTTAAAATAACAAAACTAAAAATAACTTTAATAAAGAACATTTTCATAAGCTTTTATGCTGAGTTACAAATTATCTTTGCTGAAACCATTAGCACTAATATTGTAAAATAGAGAGAGTTGTTGAGAATCTGTTTTAACAACTTGCCTCTAGCCTTCCCTATGACAACACAAATTAAAAACCCTAATCCTCTTCTTACAACTCAACTGAAGTTTTGTGATTTGCATGTGCATATTGTGCATAAAATTGACCCTTTATAGGCAGATTTTCTGATGCCAAGTCCTCCTATATCAAAATTATAAAAGTATGCAAAGCACAAAATTTTTGAGTTTCATAGAAAGAGGTAAAGAAAAGAGAGAGTGGTTCTAGCATAGAAACGTAGACATATATGTGACCAATTACATACTGAAAATAGTGAAGAACTTTGAATAGCTTGTCACAGACATAACCCCAGAATTTTGGGGATTACTGCAGGTAATGTAGGAAAATGTAAAATTGTACTTCGCATGGATTTAGGTACGTAAAAGTAAAAAGAAACATGTTTAGAAACCCCCAATCACTTAGCCAAATGGAAGGCCATTTGTAAAGAGCTATATAAGCAGTATCTGGTATTTAACAAATGTAAGTGTCATCATGTTGAACTGATAAAGTGTCTCCAAAAGGGCAGGCAATTTATTATCACCCTTGCAATCATAAAACATTTCAAAAATGGTAAAGAGCATGTCACAGAATTTCCAAGTGGTTGTAGTTTACAGAGTTTTGAAAGATGCCAAGATGTACTGTCAGGTTAATGTGCTAAGATCACTTCACCACAAAGAAAGGCTATCTTTGTACAGATTTCATGGCAATAAGGTACAGCTCCACCAAAACAAATCACTGAGCCACATGCTCAAGTCACGTACTAGTTCGTCTGCAAGATGCAAGTACAATTGAAAATTTATACTATATCATTTGCAGGCATGGACGTCTGTTCCTTTAGGTTGCTCAAACAGGCTTAGGGAAGTCATTTTCTCATGCTTAATGGACTTTTGAAAGCATGTGAAAAGGAGGGAGAGACATCTTTGGTCCTAGTATATCATGTAATAGAAATTGCACTGTATGGCAATGATCCATAATCAGGGTCATCATACAGAACACTACTGGTGGTGAGAGAAAGGGCTGTAAAGCCTAACCTCTCATCTTTGTATTGTTACGTCTCCGTTTGTTAATTAACTTTCCGTAACTTCGTTCCGACGAAACTTTAGCGACACAAGTCCTTACTTAATAAAACTGGTTTATTATTTCCGAATATAACTTTACGATACACTTAATTTCAACAATCGCGCTAAACAAACGCTATAGCAATGAACGTCAATAATACTCTGACCGCAGATCAATTACTCATTACCTACACACACATTATTATTCCGTCACGTTGTCACCTTCTTTTATATACCAGACTACCCTATATC